TAAGTTTTTGTTCAAACCAAAAGCTCTATCAACCTCACGCTAGCATCATAAGCTACATTTAGTTTGTATTTATATATTTGGGGAAAGTAACTTCAAAGTAATGCAGTAGTTTAATGCTTGACATTTCAGTAAGACAGTAATATTGTAGTAACACATTACTTTGAAAAAAACAAGTATTAGATCATAGATTACGTCTTCAAGTAACTAAGAAATGACATGAGGCAATAAATGCTTGAATCGAGTGGTTTTCATCTGAATTTGAGAACATTCTGACAAGATTTGCCAAAGGGACAAAGCCACTTAATCTTATTTCAATAACTGTGTTGATATATTTTCTCATTCTAAGAGAGACATTTCTTGTATATTTTGAAAACCAGATCATTCTGCTTGTCCCGTTGGCAAATCATGTTTTAGGCTCAGTCAGAATGTGCTCAGATGAAAACACATTTAGACTTATTTTCACCTTTGACAGTGTGATCCAGGACATTTTTGCTCATTTCTTCTGCTGTGCTGTTGGCGACTGCTGCGGTGGTGATTTAGGGCGACACAAAAACACGTGTAATTGAACGGAGTCGATGTTTCCTCACATTTGCTGTTGATTCTGATCATGATAAAGTGTCTGCTCTCGTCAGCCGGTGTCTGAGTGCTCTCTTCCTGTTTCTCTTTTCTGCTCGCTGTGACGTACTTCCACGTCTTACTCCAAACAAACACGAGGCTACGACACTGGACTAATTAGCACAAAAACACTTTGTTCTAATGAGGTTTCAAAGAAGAGAAACACTTTGTTGTTTGGCCATGGAAATGTTGTGGTTATTACCAGACTTCACAACAGAAAATATATACTGTGTACATTTGGGTCAAACTACCTAAAGATATGAAACGACTAAAGCAGGAGACTTTTCATTTGTATAAACTATTGTCTGCGTTACATTTAACATGATCTACTGTTGTCCACCTGCCACATCACTTTCCCTGTGGATGAACTGTGTTATACAAATAAACCTGGCTTCTCTTGTTACTGTTACTGCTGTACTGTAAGTATAAATGCTGCTGCTTCTGGCGATGATCGCCCCTACGAGATAAACCAATCAGAGAGCGGTGTGGGCTCAGAGCATTAAAAGTGAAACAGTCTGATTCCACAGGACTCAGAGCGACTGGAGCTGAGCCTCAGAACAAACACAACAGACCCTTGGGCTCCGTGATGTTCAGCAACAGAAGTTATTATAGTGATTAGAGCCGCTCAAACCAAAGAAGCTCATCCCCACAGAGCTGCGCCACACTGAAAACATGCAGCAATTTCCATCTCAGCGTTTCAGCGTTATTCCTGTTATTCCTTTGTGTCCACACTTTGGAAGCGGCTCGTCTGCTTCAGTCCGAGTCAGGTTTGTTCAGATTTATGCAAATACACCAGAGGAATATGACTTCAACAATATCATTCATTCAAAACAATATTGCAGTTTGGTGCCTTCACTCAGTTACTGATCATAAACTTAGATCACTATCAAAAATACAGAAATTAAAGAAGAATACAGCTGAGCTGTTGCTTAGCAACTGCATGGCTCAAAGTCTGTGGAAATATAGTGGAGATGCAATTTTCCCGGGGACTGATTTGAGCGTCACTCCCTCTGAGGTGCGTCCAGGTCTGAGGATTGTGCTCCGTGAGAAAACACATTATGGACACAGTGACGGGATCTAAACTCTGAATTTCACTGGATCTGTCTGGGCCTCAAGGTTCTCAAACTGAGGTACCCGCTCTGAGCAAGTCGAGAGTCTCACTGTTACCCCAGAGTTAAGAATAAGAAACTCATGTATTAGGCCTTTATTGTCTCCACAGGGAGATTGGTCTTCAGCCTTTGTCCCAGTCCCTCAAACATAGAAGACCCGTCTGCAGACGCTGATGCTCGACCGGTGCGCCTGGAGGAAACCCACCCAGACACTGTATGTTTGCATTTTACATACAGCAACAACAAACTTTAAAACTTGTATTTCATTCTAATTTTCTGAATGAAACTTTCCCGGATGAGTCTGAAAGCACAGTGTGTGTCTGTGGTGTTGTGTGAATCACAGTGAAATGTGTGCGTTGTTGTTGCTCACATTGTCCCATTGTGTTGTTGTGCTTTGTCATATGTAATGTGGTGTCATGTTTAAGAATAGACCTGGTCCTCGGCACAAACACGAGAACACATGAATAATCACACATTATGAGGCGCTTAGCAAAGAAAACTGAACATTTATTACACACATGTCTTTCTCTCATATTTTTATCCTTCGCACTCTTTGGAGAATCAGAATGTTCCGGTCTTTTCCGCGGCTCAGACTGTGCCTTTCTGGTCCGAGCCTCAGGAGACCCGGACATCTGGCCTAGTTCTTGGTGTTCGGAGCTCACTGGGTCGGAGTCTGTCGTGCTCCGTGTCATGATTTGGATCCATGTTTTAGTCAAAGGCAGGTTTCTTTTTGGGTGGAAACTGTTCAGGGAAAAATGAGTTCTTCTTCTTTGAAAATACCTCAAAAACACCTTTTTTTTTGCTGCAATGGCTTTGAGACCACAGCAAAGATTTCTCAGCTCTAATCTCCTGCAAGACCCCATGTGGTCTGCAGATTTACTACACTACACCCACTCTCTCTAGTTTCTCTCTGGTCTCTCTCTAGTCTCTCTCTGGTCTCTGTGGTCTCACCCTGGTCTATTTTTGCTCTCTCTTGGGTCTTGCTCTCTAGTCTCTCGCTGGTCTCTCTCTAGTCTTTCTCTAGTCTCTCTCTGGTCCCTCTCTAGTATCTCTCTAGTCTCTCTAGTCCCTCTCTAGTCCCTCTCTAGTCTCTCTCTAGTCCCTCTGTAGTCTCTCTCTAGTCTCTCTCTAGTCCCTCTCTAGTCTCTCTCTAGTCCCTCGTTAGTCTCTCTCTAGTCTCTCTAGTCTCTCTCTAGTCCCTTTCTAGTCTCTCTCTAGTCCCTCTCTAGTCCCTCTCTAGTCTCTCTCTAGTCCCTCTCTAGTCTCTCTCTAGTCCCTCTGTAGTCTCTCTCTAGTCTCTCGTCTCTCTCTGGTCCCTCTCTAGTCTCTCTCTAGTCTCTCTCTAGTCCCTCTCTAGTCCCTCTCTAGTCCCTCTCTAGTCCCTCTCTAGTCTCTCTCTAGTCTCTCGTCTCTCTCTAGTCCCTCTCTAGTCCCTCTCTAGTCTCTCTCTAGTCTCTAGTCTCTCTCTAGTCCCTCTCTAGTCCCTCTCTAGTCCCTCTCTAGTCCCTCTCTAGTCTCTCTCTAGTCTCTAGTCTCTCTCTAGTCCCTCTCTAGTCTCTCTCTAGTATCTCTCTGATCTCCATGTGGTCTACAGATTTCTACTACTACACTACAACCCAGTAAATGTTGCTAATATTAAGCACTATCCACATCGTTGCTCAGGATTTAAAATTGCTAGTTTAAAAAATAAATCTAAAATAGCACCAGGTAATGCTCTAAAAACCCTTTGGAGACTGTAAAAAGAAACAATAGAAGGATCAAACCTGGAGTCCATTGTTGCTGGACTGGGACTCTCTTCCATGTGCTCAGGTGCTGCGCTTCAAACCTCAATAATTACTTTTCAACTTGAATCCGAAAAGGAATTTTGTTCATTTTAGAATTGTATTTTCAAGTTTTGAGACCTGAGACTTGAGAGTGGGTTATTATTTTGTAGAGAATCCTCAAAAACGTCCTTCTGTTTGAACCGTAAGTGTCCGATGCACCGCTGCCCTCTGGGAAAAGGTCACGTTCTATAGTATGGATCTTTTTGAGCAATTATGTTAAAACTAAGATATTCCTCTTGATGGTTTGGCAGAAGGTCGAAGCAAAGTTATGTACGGTACTTGTGACGCGGCAGATGCTGAGGTCAGATTCAGTTTATTTGCCATTTGCAGTAAAACCACATTGGAAGACATGTGCAAAAGAACCCAGTGTGCACCTGACAGATTCATAGAGAACCTCCAGAACTCTTTTTTCAGAGCGGAGCACCTCTCTCTGGTCTCTCTCTGGTCTCTCTCTGGTCTCTCTCTGGTCTCTCGCTGGTCTCTCTCTGGTTTCACTCACTTGTCTCTCTCTGGTCTCTCTCTGGTCTCTCTCTGGTCTCTCTCTGGTCTCTCTCTAGTCTCTCTCTAGTCTCTCTCTGGTTTCACTCACTTGTCTCTCTCTGGTCTCTCTCTGGTCTCTCGCTGGTCTCTCTCTGGTCCCTCTGGTCTCTCTCTGGTCTATCTCTGGTTTCACTCGCTGGTCTCTCTCTGGTCTCTCTCCGGTCTCTCTCTGGTCTCTGTCTGGCTTCTTTCTGGTCTCTCTCTATTGTCTCTCTAATCTCTCTCTGGTCTCTCTCGCTGGTCTCTCTCTATTTTCTCTCTAATCTCTCTCTGGTCTCTCTCGCTGGTCTCTCTCTATTTTCTCTCTAATCTCTCTCTGGTCTCTCTCGCTGGTCTCTCTCTAGTCTCTTTCTAGTCTCTGTCTGATCTATATCTCTGGTCTTTCTCGCTGGTCTCTCTGGTCTTTCTCTCTGGTCTTTCTTCTCTGGTCTCGATCCGGTCTCTCTCCGATCTTTATCCAGTCTCTCTCTGGGCTCTCTCTTTCCTCTCTCTGGTCTCTCTCTCTCTCAAAGCAAGTCAGAAAAATTGGTGCAAGTAACCATAGCAACACACTAACTGTCAGCCGTTAGCATTTGGTCTTTACCATTAGCATTTCAAAAACTTACATTTCAAGACCTACACCACACCCCATTAACAATAACTCTATACTAAATAAAAACAATCTTTAACTTTAGCATGATAAAGAATCCAGTCAGAGGAGCGGTCTTGTTTGTAACCTCTGTGATGCTAGCCACACAGGAAATAAGGTGCAGCGTATAATTAGCGATGTCTCACGGTAATGACGGGCTGCGAGACACATACCTGCTCTGCTGCTACGCGATAAGAGCCACCGCAAGGATTTAATCAACTTAAAGTGAGGCTTCCCCAGGAGCCAAACAGCAGCTGGGCAGACAGATACTGCAGCCCTGGCACCATGCGGCACTGCACCATGCGCCACTGCACCATGCGTCACTGCACCATGCGCCACTGCACCAGCTGCAGCCCAACACCGCAGACACCAGCGAAGGAGCGTTCTAGCACACGGTTGTTTAACAGAGTACCGTGTCCAAGTATGAGCTGAGGTTGTTAGGGTCACATCCAATCAGGTCAGATATTTAGCGGTAATAATTCAATTTGATTAAAAACACAGGCTTTGGTCCATAGGGGGCAGAAACCAATGTCCATAAATGTCCATAAAGGTTGTTGAATGTTGAGTAATAGTATAATAATGGACTCGGACTTTTAAGAGAATTTTAAGAGCCGCACTAAATTCAGTAACATCAGCAGCTTTTACCATCAAAAACATGGCCAGGATAAAAAACACAGAGTCTAGAGTAGACTTGGAGATTCTTATCCATGCATTTGTCTCCAGTAGGTTAGACTACTGTAATGTCTGCTCACAGGTCTCTCCAAACAGGCAGCTTGAGGCCTGAATAGAACCAGGAAGTACCATCACATTAGTCCTGGTCTCAGGTCTCTGCTTCCTGTGGCTCAGAGAATAGACTTTAAAGCAGCTCTGTTTGTTACAAGTCTCTCCATGACCTCAAAGTACATTTGTGACATGTTAGTGCCATATGAACCAACTCTGAGGAGCACAGGGACTGGCCTCTCTCTGGTCTCTCTCTATCTAGTCTATCTCTCTGGTCTCTCTCTGGTCTGTCTCTGGTCTCTCTCTAGTCTCTCTCTAGTCTCTCTCTAGTCCCTCTCTAGTCTCTCTCTAGTCTCTCTCTAGTCTCTCTCTGGTCTCTCTCTGGTCTCTCTCTGGTCTCTCTCTGGTCTCTCCCTAGTCCCTCTCTGGTCTCTCTCTGGTCTCTCTCTAGTCTCTCTCTGGTCTCTCCCTAGTCCCTCTCTAGTCTCTCTCTAGTCTCTCTCTAGTCTCTCTCTGGTCTCTCTCTGGTCTCTCTCTGGTCTCTCTCTGGTCTCTCTCTGGTCTCTCTCTGGTCTCTCTCTGGTCTCTCCCTAGTCCCTCTCTGGTCTCTCTCTGGTCTCTCTCTCGTCTCTCTCTAGTCTCTCTCTGAGGAGAACAGGGACTGGCCTCCTGCTGGTCCCAGAGTCAGGACTACCCATGGGGAGGCAGAGTTTCATATTTCTTCAGACAAAATCTCTTCTCTGACAACATTCAAACCCAGGTTAAAAACTGAGATTCACGTCATTCTTACTAAAGATGGGAATAGCCAGCACTCATAATTGTCTCCACATCAGATGAAAATGTGCCACTTTGTTCCAGTGCGTTTCCAAAAAAAAAAGAAAAGTGGCACAAGTGAAAACAAACAGAGACAGGAGTGAGTCACAGTCGACATGAAATCTAATCAGGAGCAACTGTGCCAGCTAACCCAGCGCTGACCCGGAGTGTGAGCCCGGAGTGTGAGCCCGAGTGTGAGCCCGAGTGTGAGACCGAGGAGGAGGTGTGGGGAGCCACAAAAAGACTGGTGACAAATCCACTGCTCCAACACCACATGTCTGACAGCCTGTCTGACAGCCGGAAGACAGGGGCCGGAAGACAGGGGCCGGAAGACAGGGGCCGGAAGACAAGGCCGGAAGACAGGGGCCGGAAGACAGGGGCCGGAAGACAGGGGCCGGAAGACAGGGCCGGAGGAGGACCCAGAGCCGTCCTTATGAAGGGAAAAAACTGGGGAAAAAACTGGGGAAAAAACAAATCGTGGAGGAAAAGTGAGAGGAAGAATAGAGCACTTTCTAGAAGCTGAGCAGCACATATACATAAGCCGCACATGTATAAGCCGCACCTGTATAAAAGCCGCACATGTATATAAGCTGCTCCTGTATATAAGCCGCGCATGTATACAAGCCGCACATGTATATAAGCCACACATGTATGTAAGCCGCACATGTATACAAGCCGCACATGTATATAAGCCACACATGTATATAAGCCGCACATGTATAAGCCGCACCTGTATGTAAGCCGCACATTTATATAAGCCACACATGTATATAAGACGCACATGTACTGTATGCAAGCCGCACATGTATATAAGCCGCACATGTATATAAGCCGCACATGTATATAAGCCGCACATGTATACAAGCCGCACATGTATACAAGCCGCACATGTATACAAGCCGCACATGTATACAAGCCGCACATGTATATAAGCCACACCAGTATATAAGCCACACATGTACATAAGCTTCACCTGTATAAGCCGCACCTCTATGTAAGCCGCACATGTAGGCAAGTGAGGCGACAGTAGCTCAGTTGGTAGAGCATTAGCCCTTGAGCCTGAAGGTCGTGGGTTCGAGCCCACCACGAGCCCTTCTCCACCGACTCCCACTGATGACTGCCGTCGTTGGGCAAGACACTTAACCCCACTTTGCCTGAAGCCCTTTCTGAAAGATCTCAGCACCTGCAAATTTTAGTTTGTCCCTCAGTGCGGATTTTTCGAGAAATTAATTGGTTCATGATATAAATTCTGTATTTCCTCGGTGCGGGAGAATTGTATATCTCGTTTGTGTGTTTTTTGTCTGTATTTTTGTGTCTGTTTTTGTGTTTTATGGACCTGTTATGTGTCTGAATTAAAGGTTAAATAATAAACATCAATCAATCAATCAAATTTTATTTATAAAAACATACTGATACTTTTGTACCTACTTTTTTGTCCTCAGTTTTAAAAGTCCAGAGATACTTTAAAGTCTGCTTCTGCTGCGTTTCCGCCGACACCTCGTCCCTGAGGTCACATTTCTCTGATGAGTTCAAATATTCATGTCTCGGACTCTTTTGTCTTTTTTCCTTCTTTTCTCTCTCACCACATTGTAATCTGCATGTTTTTGTGGAGCCACATTTTGCATCCAAGAGCATCAAAGTTTATTTTACTGAGGTGAATTATTAACTCAGATTAGTCTTTTGTTTTAAAATGTGAAGGGGAAAGAAAAAGAAAGAGACATTTTTTATTCAAAAGCAAAAGCATATGTAATCAAAAGAAACATGCATCAAACGGAAAAGTAAATATTTAATTCTCTTTATCGTATGGCGCAGCTGTGAAAGAGCGAGAGGAGAGAGTCTGGAACTAAGTCGGAAAGTTAAAAAAATAATTTAAATCAGAAAAACCGCAGGTGAGATTAAGATTAAGAAAACCTGTGTAAAAGTATATAATCTATAACTAATGTAGCCACAGCTGCCCTGGGACAGATTACCAGCCTTCTAGCTGTCAGTCACACACACTGCTGCTTTGTGGCTGAAGTGTCTTGCCTCAGGACACAACAACAACATCCGCTTGACAATTACAAATTTGATTGATTTTTCTATAAGCATTATTTTGCTGATTCGTTAGTTTGTTGCCAGTTTCTGTGTGACATTTATGAAATTATATGAATGACTTTTACAATGTGTTCTATCGTTTCAATAAAGCTGAACTGTTTGAATCTGAATGTGTTCTTTTGATCAGGGACAACACACAAAACAAATTAGTCTCACAATAAGAACGTATTTGAGCAAAGACACACATACACATACACACACACACACGCACACACACACTTTATTGGACAATTCAATTCATTTTATTTTCACACTGTTGATTTTGCCAACACAGATCAGAGAATGTGTTTGAATGTGTGTCGACAGAGAGAGAGAGACAGGCACAGTGAGAGAGAGAGAGAGAGACAGAGAGACACAGATACAGAAAGAGAGAGAGAGAGAGAGACAGAGAGACACACAGATAGAGAGTGAGAGAGAGAGACAGACACAGAGACAGACATAGAGAGACAAACACAGCGAAAGAGACACAGAGAAACAGACACAGAGAGACAGACACAGAAACAGAGAGAGAGACGGACACATAGAGACAGACAGAGAGACAGACACATAGAGACAGAGAGAGAGACGGACACATAGAGACAGACACATAGAGACATAGAGACAGACACATAGAGACATAGAGACAGACACATAGAGACATAGAGACAGAGAGACAGACACATAGAGACAGAGAGACAGACACATAGAGACAGAGAGAGAGACGGACACATATCAGACACATAGAGACAGACACATAGAGACAGAGAGACAGACACATAGAGACAGAGAGAGAGACGGACACATATCAGACACATAGAGACAGACACATAGAGACAGAGAGACAGACACATAGAGACAGAGAGAGAGACGGACACATATCAGACACATAGAGACAGACACATAGAGACAGAGAGACAGACACATAGAGACAGAGAGACAGACACATAGAGACAGACACATAGAGACAGACACATAGAAACATAGAGACAGACACATAGAGACATAGAGACAGAGAGACAGACACATAGAGACAGAGAGACAGACACATAGAGACAGAGAGAGAGACGGACACATAGAGACAGACACATAGAGACAGAGAGACAGACAGCGAGAGACAGACATAGAGACAGACAGACAGAGAGAGAGAGCGACAGTTGGACGTGTGGACGCAGAGTGGACGTGTCTGGACGGTGCAGCTGGCTCCTTGCATCTAAAGCAGCCCCTGTCGCACTCGTGGCTCCAGATTCAATTACCCCGATAGCTTGGGCTGGGGCTGAATATTAATCCAAGGCCCCAGAGTGAGTGAGTCTGGGGGGGACGGGGACACGGGGACACGGAGCCCATCTGGCTGCTGCAGTGTGGCTGCGGCTGGGACCAGGAGGGGCCCCCGGAGCTGTCCACCCGAAGATGGATCATTCTGAGGCAGACACTCACTGGACCAGACACAGGGGAGGATGGGGGAGGATGGGGGAGGCTGGGGGAGGGAGGAGGCAGCACATTCAGACAATTAACATCCTCAATGCACAGTTTGGGAAATGAAATCGCCTTCTTGTAAACAAAACATGTTTACAAAAATTAATTCTTTATTATGCTAAAGTTAGAGATTGTATATAAGAAACAAAACAAAAAATATCCAAATCATTCCTACTATGAGCAGCATCAGGAAAACTATAGGGGAAAATTATTTATTGGCACTTAATCACTTTTTATAATAAAGGATTAGAATCTCAAACTGATCAATTCAATTAAATAATAATAATAATATACAGGCTCCTTTTTATTTTCAATGTTGACTTACAAAAGAAGTAAAAATACATTCAAAGAGATGGTTAAAATACAGATAAATTACAATGACAAATACAGTTAAAATACAATAATAAATACGGTTAAAATACAATAATAAATACAGTTAAAATTAAAAAAAATAAAAAAAACATACAGTTAAAATACATAATAAAAACGGTTTAAATACAATAAAAAAATGCAATAGAAATACAGTTAAGATATAAAAGTTAATAACAGCAGGAACAGAGGAGGGTGTAGTGATGGTGTGAGTGAATAGTTTTGTCCAAAAAAAAAAAATCCATTCAATTTATTTTTGCATCGCCCTAAATCACAGCAGTCATCGCGGAGGACTTTACAAAAGCACCAATTCCCAGAAAACAGATCAGAAAATCAAACCATTTAAACACAACAAAATGCAACGATAAAAAACACACAGAATCATTGAAACAATTGAATCTTGGGTTGAAATATTGTCATTTTCCTGCTTCTTTCACCTCCTCCGTCTCCTGCAGCAGCTGTAGGCATAATGTGGACAACCCCCACCGGAGTCAAGTAGATGGGACCCCCCGCCGTGACCCTGTCCCCGTCATATATGGCCCTGGGTCCTGAGGGAGCGGCACGGCGGCCTCCCCTTGACCCGTGTGTGCGTGACCTTCCCGTGACGTGGACGTTTGTGTGAGCGGCGGGTTCAAAGACACCGGCCTCGGAGACGTGTGGAGGGGGAGGAACTCTGCACATGTCCCGGTTCTTTGTCTGATTCTGGAACTGAACAGTTTGTAGTGTTTTGGAAAATATATACACTGGAAACAAATGGCTGCAAAAAAAAGAGAGGAAGATATGTTGTGATGTGTAAAAAATATCACAGAGAGAGAGAGAGAGAGAGAGGGAGAGAGAGAGAGAGACAGAGAGAGACACAGAGACAGAGAGAGAGACAGAGAGGGTTAGAGAGAGAGAAAGAGAGACAAAGAGAGAGAGAGAGAGACACACAGAGAGAGAGAGACAGAGAGAGAGAGACAGAGAGAGAGAGACAGAGAGAGATAGACAGAGAGAGAGACAGATAAAGTGACAGAGAGTGAGACAGAGAGAGACAGAGAGAGAGACAGAGAGAGAGACAGATAGAGACAGAGAGAGTTAGAGAGAGAGAGAGAGAGACAAAGAGAGAGACAGAGAGAGAGAGACAGAGACAGAGAGAGAGACAGAGAGACAGATAGAGACAGAGAGGGTTAGAGAGAGAGAGAGAGAGACAAAGAGAGAGAGAGACACACACAGAGAGACAGAGAGAGAGAGAGAGACAGAGAGAGATAGACAGAGAGAGAGACAGATAAAGTGACAGAGAGTGAGATAGAGAGAGAGACAGAGAGAGAGAAAAATAATCTAATAAGTAAAAGCGACGCCAATAGAATAATAAAATAATCCTGGCCCCAAACGACTTGATTCTTGTTTATAAATCTGCAGAAGAAGAAACAGTAAAGAAATGACTTATTGTCGTAATTAATTATTCAATGTATTTTTGTGAAATGTTTTTGTAAAACCTTAAATCTCATCTGGAGTTTTCTCTAAGGACTTTACGAAGCTGTGGATTCACCAACAACAGATCAGTGTGAACGGCTTTTATCATCGTCAGAATAATTAGCTTTGTTCGATTTCAAAATACAGTCAAAACATCTCTCTCTCTCTCTCTCTGTATCTGTGGTGTGAATCAATACGAACACATCAAATCCCAGAATCAAGCTCAGAATCCAGTCCAAACACTTTTAAAATCACACAAATTAAGATTGTTTTATGCCTTTTGTGGAGAAATGAGACTGCGGTTAAATCCTCCAGCTCTGGTCCTGACCAAGCCCGGGCGCTGTTACTATGGCGACCACTGCTCCTGACGTACGTAAGCCATAGCGGCATCAGGATGGGTCAAATGCAGAGGATGAATTGCCCGACGGGGATCAATAAAGTGAACCTTTGCTTTACCCAGCGGTTTTTATATGATGTGTGTCAATGTGGATCAGAACAAAGTCGTCGTCCTTGAGATATTAAAGACGCAGATGCTTAATATCTGTCTGTTGTGTTTATCTTGGCCAGGACTCCCTGAAAAAGAGCTTTTTAATCTCAATGGGATTTTTTGTGGTTAAATAAAAACAATGAAAATAAGATATTGATACTAGAAGCAATGTTGGTCAGAACAAAGACATTCAGTTCTTGAAATATTGAAGGAAACAAATTTTATTTTAGTTTTTATACCTTAGAAGTGGATAAAGTGCTGATTTGTATTCTGTACCTCTCTTCTTTGACCGATGCACCGAGAGCCAAAGCAGTTCCATGGCAATATCTATTCTGATTCTGAGGATTTACCCAAATTTTAGTAAAGAACCGCCCTCCCCACTTTTTGAACAAAACTCTCTGGTTTCATCTGAGGAGCACGTATCACCAGAATGATTGACAACTGGGAGGACCAATAGTCTTGAAGATCCACCCGGAAGTAGAATACCGTCCTTCCTACACCTTTACTGCTTTGTCCAGGCAACACAGATACTACAGAGCTCTCCGTGGCCTTCAATCCTAGTTTTCTGTTACTTTTGACGGCAATAAACATAATTCATATTCTGAGTCTAAAGTGACCCTGTTATGAATAAGTTTGGACACCCCGGGTCTCTCCGCTCTGCAGGAGTGAAGAGAAGTTCTCAATATTCCAGCTTCTTTCTGCTGCTGCCGCTCGGAAAAGCCCGTGGCCTGTAATTAAAGAGCAGTTTGTCTGAACGGGGCTGGGAGCCAAAGGAAGCAGGAACGTGTGGAGGCTAACGTCCAGGTGTGAAGGCTGCTGGGACCTCTGTTATTGCTCGGCCACAGACTCCTGCCGGTGCGGTATGTGCGCGCCGAGCAGAAACTTCTCGGAGTGAAGTTGAGGCGAAGGTGAAGCTGAAATCAAAGGCTTTGGCAGCATCTGCACAAACAGTCGCCTCCAAAACACCACGCGAGGACGGAACTTTTTATGGTTTTCTAAAAGTGGATTCGTTCAGAGAAGGACCTGCTGTACTCCGCCTCATACTGAGATTATATTAAAGTTATATTTAGATTAAGAGAGAGAGAAATGTCAGTGTTGCACCAGCGGTTACAGAATGAGGAGCACACAGCACAAGATAAATGAATAATAACTGAGAGAGGGAGACCCAGGACTGAGGCTGTAGACCCAGGACTGAGGCTGTAGATCCAGGACTGAGGCTGTAGACCCAGGACTGAGGCTGTAGATCCAGGACTGAGGCTGTAGATCCGGGACTGAGGCTGTAGACCCAGGACTGAGGCTGTAGACCCAGGACTGAGGCTGTAGACCCAGGACTGAGGCTGTAGATCCAGGACTGAGGCTGTAGCTCCAGGACTGAGGCTGTAGATCCAGGACTGAGGCTGTAGACCCAGGACTGAGGCTGTAGACCCAGGACTGAGGCTGTAGCTCCAGGACTGAGGCTGTAGATCCAGGACTGAGGCTGTAGACCCAGGACTGAGGCTGTAGATCCAGGACTGAGGCTGTAGATCCAGGACTGAGGCTGTAGACCCAGGACTGAGGCTGTAGACCCAGGACTGAGGCTGTAGACCCAGGACTGAGGCTGTAGACCCAGGACTAACATCTCATCATTCATTAATTTACCTAATTTAGACCCAGCTAATCTTCATTTCTAACACTTTCTCTTTCACACGTGACTGAGAAAACATTTTTCTTGAAACTGGTCCATTCTCTGTCCATTCTTTTCTCAAAATCAGAATAACATTTGTGCTGCACATACATTTTTCAGTGCGTCCAGTCCCAGCGGCGGAGAGCAGCCGGAGAACTGCGTCTGAGCTGAAGTTTGCTCCACCAACAAAAAAAACTTTGCTCAAAGAAAAAGAATAAATATAAACTCACAAACACTGATCCAACTCCTGGTTTCGAGCCCGTTGTCTTGGTAACAACACATTTGAAGGTGACCTCGCCAACGTTCTCTCACCAACACTGATTAAAAATTCGAATCCACGTCAGCGTCAGGTCGGGCGGCACGGTGGCTGAGTGGATAGCACTCTCGCCTCTCAGCAAGAAGGTCCTGGGTTCGAATCCCGGCCGGACCAGGGCCTTTCTGAGTGGAGTTTGCATGTTCTCCCCGTGTCTGCGTAGGTTTCCTCCGGGTACTCCGGTTTCCCCTACCACTAAAAATATGTACAATAGGTCTGACATGTGCCTCCTGTACTGGCGCCCCCGCTCCAATCTCTGTGTGGAGTGAGAGACAAGTGTCCAAAAATAACAATTGTAAACCGCTTTGAGACTCTGGTCTGTGAAAGGCGGTATATAAATAAAGCTTACTTACTTACTTAAAGCTTACAGGTCGAATCCCTCTCCTCACGGCCAAAAAATTACAAAGTTATTATAAAGTCAGTCTCGGACTTTCTTTTTACCCCTTTAATAACATGAAATAGTTTAAGTTCTGCCGATGAAGAAAAACTGTGAAAAGGTCCCAAGCTGCTGTCCCTAACTTTTGGTTTTGCTTCATAAATAAATTGTGTCTTTCCCAACTAAAGAAAACGTATTCTTTGCATCATGAGAGCTTTTTGTTGGGCCTCTCTTTTTCTCCTTTCTGTCCCAAAAATTCTATACAGCCTCAGTCCTGGGTCTACAGCCTCAGTCATGGATCTACAGCCTCAGTCCTGGATCTACAGCCTCAGTCCTGGGTCTACAGCCTCAGTCCTGGGTCTACAGCCTCAGTCCTGGGTCTACAGCCTCAGTCATGGGTCTACAGCCTCAGTCATGGATCTACAGCCTCAGTCCTGGATCTACAGCCTCAGTCCTGGATCTACAGCCTCAGTCCTGGGTCTACAGCCTCAGTCCTGGGTCTACAGCCTCAGTCCTGGATCTACAGCCTCAGTCCTGGGTCTACAGCCTCAGTCCTGGGTCTACAGCCTCAGTGCTGGGTCTACAGCTTCAGTCCTTGGTCTACAGTCTCAGTCCTGGATCTACAGCCTCAGTCCTGGGTCTACATTTTCAGACCTGGATTCCTTGTTGACACAGAAGGGTCTAAGGACAGTGACAATCCAAGACATTTATTCACATGTATTATTATTATTATTATTACTATTATTATCATCTAACTCCCATAATCCTCCGAGACTTTAGGGCGATAGACACAAATACTTTGGATCAAATTGAACATCTGGAGCCGTCTGGAGCATGGCGGCTGCGGCTGGAGGATCATAACGAGACTATTGTGGAGAGGGCACAGTGTCCGACTCGGTGTCTCTCTGCGGAGCAAAGATGAATAGTCCTTTGTCTGGAGCCTGACGCGGAAAGTGCAGCCGCGGCGGCGGATGGACTCACAGGACCATCAGCGGATCCCCCGGCGCTGGAGCAGGGGTCACAGTCATGAGGGACCAGGAGGAGGAGGAGGGACCAGAGGGAGACCAGAGAGAGGGAGAGAGAGACCAGGAGGAGGGACCAGAGGGAGACAAGAGAGAGGGAGAGAGAGACCAGGAGGAGGGACCAGAGAGAGAGGGGAAGGGAGGAGAGAGAGAGAAAGAGAGAGAGAGCAGAGGGAGAGGAAGAGAGAGCGAGAGAGAGAGAGAGATCAGAGAGAGAGATTAGAGACAGAGAGACCAGGAGGAGGAGGAGGGGCCAGAAAGAGATCAGAGAGAGACCGGAGAGGGACCAGAGAGAGACCAGACCAGAGAGAGAGACTGGAGAGAGACAAGAGAGAGAGAGCAAAGAGAGAGAAGAGAGACCAGAGAGA